AAGTCCTCTTAGCTTTTCAGGGAGGGAGGACGTTGCCCAAGTTCTTATGGCTCGTCTCTGTCATGGAAGCATTGCGACTACAAAAGGAAGTCAGGATCAACACTCGCAAAATCATTAACCGCACTTTACCTGCAGAGACGTTCTACTAGCTTCGGAAGTCACCAGGAAGCTGGAAAGCCTGCAAAAAGCCTGTCCAGGACCCTTGCCGCCAGTTCCGCGCACGGCCCAAAGCCACAACTGAGGCCCGGCGTTCCTGGATTTCGTGGGAATTAAGTTACAACGGCTGATCCGTGCAAATGCAAGCTGGTTTGTATGAATGTTAATCAACCTACCAAATCTACCTATCTATACAGCTGATCGTCTACCCCGGCTATTTATGTATCCGTCTATCCAACTATCGATCTATACATCTATCGATCGATCTATGTTTCCAGCTTGTCAATACATGTACGCATGCATGCGTACATGCGTGTATGGGCTAAGGAGTGGCAAACTGATTGACTGAATGGCTGACTGATTGACTGAAAGAATCAAGTAACAAATGACTGCATGACAAACGACCGAAGGAAGCAACAAAAGAGTGAGGGAATGAATGGATGACTCGACCGAGGCCACGAACGAACAAACCAGCGAACGAACGGACCGACAAACGAACAGACGGACAAACGGAAAAACGGATGGACGAGCGGAAGGACGGATGAACTTCATGTATGTATGCATGTATGTCTGTATGTATGTATGTATGCGCGTATGTCTGCATGTCTGTATGTACATACAAACAAACATAAATACAGGTGTGTGTATATCATAATATATATATATATATACATATATACATATATATATATATGTATATATTTGCGCATTACGAGCTCACATGACGAGTTCTAACATGTGTGTGCGTGTGCATGTATGCATGTATGCACGTAATGTATGTATGTATGTATGTATGTATGTATGTATGTATGTTTGTATGTATGTAAGTATGTATGTAAGTATGTATGTATGTATGTATTTATGTATGTATGTGTGTGTATATATGTATGTATGTAGGTAGGTATGTAGGTAGGTATGTAGGTAGGTATGTATGTAATCTATGTAATAATGTAGGTAATGTCTGTAATGTAATGTATGCATGCATGCATGAATGCAGGGAGATAGGTAGTTAGGGATGTATGTATGTATGTTATACGCGCCGCGTCAGTTGGCCCGAGTGTGACTGTTGGTAGCACCACTGCTCTTATGCTTTCTGCTCTTAGGTACCGAACCCACACCACAGGGAACCACATTGTGAGGGGTGGGGATACCATGGGGTTGGGGGGGGAGAGGGGGCCTGGCATCGTTGCACCATGTATGTGTGTCCCCGCTCGTGTTACAGTGTGCGTGTGCGTGTGAGTGTGTGTGTGTGTCTATGTATGTATGTATGTATGCATGTATGTATGTATGTATGTATGTATGTGTTTGAATTCTTGCTCCTTTTTGATTTTGTTTCCATTGCTGTTCTTCATAGGAAGCACGGTCGTAAATATCAAGGCGTCGCTTATACTTCCTCGCTCGATTGGTCGAGGCATGTCGGGCAAATAGTTAGCAGTTAGCCAACGTACACGCGAAGGCGAAAGCGTGGAAGCACCGGCAAGCTTCAATTGCGACCAGTTTCTCTTTCTCCTGGCATGTAAGTCGTGCGTCCGTGCGTCTGATTGCACACGAAGCCTGCCCGTGCTGAATGCAACTCGCTTCACGTGCCTGCCGTCGAACCCCATCGACAAGCACGGAGCCAGGTGAACAGCACTCGCTAACCGCTAACCTTCCCAAGAGCTCCTGAAGCGACGGCATCGCCTCTAACCATGTCGCAACGGGAAACACCAGGTGCTCACGCACCTGCGGCAGAGTCGTCTGATAGGCTTTGGAGTGAACAGCTGAATTTCTGGACTCTGAGCTTCTGTAATAAGGATACTGATAAGCATAGTAGTGGCAGTATTAGGAGCAGCAGCAGCAGCAGCAGCAGGAGCAGCAGCAGTAGTAGTAGTTGTACTTGGTGTAGTAGTAGTAGCAACAGTAGTAGCAGTAGTAGTACTAATGCTGCTGCTGCTACTGCTACT